CGCAAGTGCAGCCGGTGCAAGCAGCCAGGCACACGCGGAAGAAGTGCCCGTCGCTGAAGAAAACCTGCCTCAACAACCACAGAAGCAACCATCCACACGCAAGTGTGGTCGATGCAAGCAGCCAGGGCACACGCGGAAGAAGTGCCCCGTCGCTGACGAAGACCTCCCTGAGCAACCACAGCAACAGCAGGGCCGTCCCCGGAAGCCTTCTCGTGGGAGCTTCCATACAGGGGACTATCATAAAGCCTTTAATTCTGACAACTTCATCAGCTGGTTCAAGGATGCGTTGCTGCCGAACCTGCACCAGCCGTCGCTCATCATCATGGACAACGCAGCGTACCACCGCACCCTCCCACCAGACACGCCAGTCCCGGGGAGAATGAAGAAAGCGGACGTCATTGCAGCTCTGCGAGCCAGGAACCTGACCGTGAGCGAGATTGACTTCTCCTGCGAGCTGAAAGACCGCCTGAAGTTGTGGGTGAAGAACCACGTCCAACCCGAGGTGGTGCAGCTGGCCGAGGCGCAAGGCCACAAGGTGCTCTTCTCCCCTCCGTGCTACAGCGACCTCAACCCAATCGAGCTCGTGTGGGCGCTGATCAAGGGCAACGTCGGCCGCAGATACAGCCTCGATACAACCTTCGAGGATGTTGAAAGGCGTCTGGAGGAAGAAATCCAACGCCTGGCAGAGGATCGCGGGCAGTACCGCAAAGATGGCAAGACGCGCGTGCAAGCCATCATCGACTCGATCGACAAGCAGCTGGAGCGGCAGCGGCGCATCATCGATGGCAGGGGCGAAGAGGAGGCAGTAGAGCAAGCAGCACCATGTACAACCACCCGAGCTGCGAGCGCTGATAGCACTGAGGAGATGGACGTTGAACAAGCAGCCGCAGTCGTGCTCGATGAGGAGGTTGATTGGGTTGACGAACGGATGGATGAGGGTGAAGATGGAGAAGAGGGCGAAGAGTGTGAGGAGGGGGACGATGACGGCGTGTCTGAATCAGACTTAGAAGCAGGGGAACAGAGCGACGCCCTGTGAGCGGATGTGCGGATGTGTGGATATGCGTGTCTTGTTTTCTTGTTGCAGGTGCGTTGTACAGCTTCACATCAACATTCGCTGGGGTGATGCCATGGTTGCAGGCAGTGTTCGACAGAGAAATGAACACGGCCCTCTCCCGGTGTCGCCAACCTACAGACAGCATCGAGCGCGGCCGTGGCACCTCGGTGTCGTGAGTGGCGTGGCCGTGGCGTTGCACCACAACTCTACAACCCCAAACACGAATGTTTGGCCCAGTGCGACTAAGGTCGCTTGCACTTGCGTGTGTGTGCGTGTGTGTGTGTGTGTGTGTGTGTGTGTGTGTGTGTGTGTGTGTGTGTGTTTCGTCTGCTTGCTCGCCTGCACGCACCCTTGCTCTTCGCATATGCCTTGAGTTAAGTCTGGGAATCATGAAAGCAGAAAGGGAGGCCAGGCGCGACTCGTTGCCAAAAATCGAGTGGAGTGTGTGTGTGTGTGTGTGTGTGTGTGTGTGTGTGTGTGTGTGTGTGTGTGTGTGTGTGTGTGTGTGTGTGTGTGTGTGTGTGTGTGTGTGACCGCGTGTCGGTGTTGACAACACTGTTGGTGTTTGTTTACAAGTCGTTCTGCGACAAACACAACAGAACAGAACACAACACGCACACGCACACACAGCGCCAAGGAAGGGGCTAATCGTCCATGAGGTTGAGCTTCCGGTTGTGCTCGCGCCGCTTGTTGTGCAGCTTCTTGAGCTCCACGGGGTTGATGGGCATGCCGCCAATGCCCGCGTTCTTCTCCGCCGCGTTCTTGC